AATGAAAATGACCTCAACCTACTTTAGAGGTCACAGAGGTCAACAACATTTTAATGGATTTGTTCTTGAGAACTAAAAGGAATGGATTCATAAGATTTGGCTGGTATCTTTTTGGAATAGAGCTAACCGATTTGAGAAGGAAAATGACATTGTACACACAATGACAAGATCACAGGGAAAAATATGTCAAGCAACTTCTGAAGAAGAATCAAAAAGCATAGAATCTTATAATAATATTTTGCTGGTAGTTTCAACAGATGGAGCCAACAAAGATTGCGAGGGAAATATTTTTAGTGCAATATAATATTTAATGAGAATATTTTGCTATGACTGCTTAAATGTTCAGGTGAGCGATACAGGCCCTCTTGGGCCTCTTGTTAAAGACTTTGGTATGTCTCGGCCAGGGGACAGAACCCAAAGCCTTCCTCACAGGGGCGAATGCTCTACAAATGGCCAAAAGTGAGGCATTATCAAGGGAGACATTAGGAAGAAGAAAGTTATTTAGAAAGGAGAGAAGAGATAAGGTCCCAAAAGTTATTGCCCTTTGTTCATTTCAATATTTGATTTTTGTCAGGAGATCTTCTCCTACATTTTTTGACCGATCTCTTTGAAACTTGGTCTACATCATAATCATAATATGAAGTTGTGTCTCTATTAAAAGAATTTTGATTTGACAATTCTTTCCAAGAGTTATTGCCCTTTGTTTGTTTCAATATTTGATATTTTGTCCGAAGATTTTCTCCTACATTTTTTATAGCATATCAGCTAACCACTCTTAGAACGATGCAGATCTTATTTCAATGTAAGAAAGTATATAACACTATATTGCATTCGACGGGCGTATTTTGTTCCGCCCTGCGGTACTCTCGTTTTTATTATGCTAAGATCAGGAATATAATCAAACTTGAGTAACTATGAAAACAATAGTTTGTTCTTGGTTTTATTTCTTAGAATTGAAACAGTGTACATTTATTTACAGACATTCAAGCTGGTTGGACAAGAAGAGCAGTGTTACTCCTTTCTGAAAAAAGCAGCAGGATTAGTTGGTTTGAAACAACCTACACGGATGGCTACTGCCAAGCTGGAATTGAAATTGCTCAAACTCCAAATGTTCTTTGGGCGGAACCGAGACAGACCGTAATTGACCAACTGCCTATTTTTCTCTATCAATAAAAGACTAGTGACTTTCCCATCTAGGAAGTATATGTCATATGTCTCTCCTAAGAGTGTATATGCCATGGCATACCCGGATTTTAGACACAGTCAAGAATATTCAGAAGTCAATACTAAAATGGGGTCTAGCTTCCCTCTATATATAGAATTAGGATCCGTTATTCACTGTATGTCACATTGTGCATGACATATACTGTCATCTGTCTACCTCTTGGTATAACAGATGTTGTATACTGAAAGCAGGCTCCCTGAGTTAAAGCTCTTTGTCCAGAGGTCGGGAAATGGCTCTGGATTGCTTTGCAATACTTTGCCTTAATTGTTGAACAAATAAGTGTCTTGACCAAAACGATTTGTATACTTGTATGTATGACCATGATATAAAACTTAAGTAACAATAACATTTTAGGGATCTTAAAGAGTTGTGTGTTTACAGAATGTTACCTGCCAGCGAGCTTGTTATTGAGCAATGCTACTGTCTATTAGACCTATACTATCACTACAAGCAGAACGACAACACCCAATTCATGATCCTCAGTGCAATGTTACACCTGTCTAAGATCTTCAACAGGACGCCACTTCTCTACCATGTAAGTGTGCTATAAACATACCACAGAAATTTGGAGAACATCAACCAAATGGTCCACCGTTTAACATTTTTTTTAGTTGCATTCCGAATTCAGGACTATTAAGATACATTCAGATCAAGGTTATTTAGCCTGTGACTTGCTTGGTTGAAGGACTTTTAAGCTTAACTGAAAAATTGGACTCTTTCTTGGTAAATGGGGTAAATTTTGTGAAATTTTTAAATAACTTTCTTACTGTCCTTAAGGCATGAAAAAAGGCATTCAGTATTAAGCAACTTTAATTTTCCAACATGTTTCAATAAGTTACAGGGTATGCTTTTTAACTTGCACAATGACCTTGCTTGCTATCAAGTTTGTTAAACAAATTTTGCTAATGTTCACTGAAGGTAACAGATTTGAGAAGTGTTTGAAAACAAAAGGTGAACAATACAGGGCGATTTAGCCTCTTGTTTTGAAATGCTTTTTGTAGGATTTGTTTGTGTCTTGTGTGGACGGCTTAACAATATCAGAAAAACATGAATACATGTAATAAGAACTGGTTGGATGTTTGGTTGAAGGTTGTACAAGGGTACTATGCAGTGATGGAGTACTACAAGAGTCGAAGTGACAGGAACATGGAGATGAGACTGGGACTGGAGCTGATAGATAGGTTTGTTACAAACTATCTTTAGTTTTACTTTGTTCATCTGTACTTACAGAGAATTAGTTAATCTCAGGATACTGATGATTTTTAGATCACCTAGGTGACCTTATTTTGTAGTTGCCATAAGTCCATTGTCATATGTTATCTATAAACATTTTTATTTTTTTTAACTTCCTATCAAAAGCCATCTGTCAGATTTTGATAAAAGTTAGTGGTAATCATCAGCCTTAATGGTGGGGATATGAGTCTTAGTGGATTTTCAACAACATGAGCCTTAAGCCTTTGATGATAGAAATATTCTCAATGAGAGACTTAATCCTACCCTCCACCCCACCATTTTGGTTACTAGTACCAGAAGGGGTTACTTATTGCAATAATATCATTGGGGTTACTTAATGCAAACCCTCCAAACAACATAAGACAGCACATAAGTAAAATGTAGAGTTGGAACAGACTTTCATGAAATAGTCTTTAGGTTAGAAAAGTAAAAATGTATACTCAAGACGAGAGTGACGGTTGGGCCATAAGTGTTCATGGAATGCAAAACTTAAAAACAAATCTTCTCAGAAACTGAGATTTTTTTTCTTTAGAAGGAGTTCCCATCTGGGGGGAGACAGAGAGAAGGCGGCTGGTAGATTACGACCAAACTTTTATTATTCATTCAGTATAATTCCACACTTGGGACACTCGATACTTGCCCCACCGAGCTTCATTTGAAGTTAGATTTGACTCAGCAGTATTGTATCATTCATATTTCACTCAGTTGACTGTTCAGCCCCATGAGACTTTTGTTAAATGTTAAATAGGAATAAGAAATATTTGTTGTTTTTCAATTCAAACACGTTCCACGTAGTTGTGTTGATCGATATTCATTATTAATCACGGAATGAAGTGTGAATATGAATACCTAAGCAAAAAGACTTCACGAGTGAAATTCAGTCAGTGTAGTTCATCCATTGTCAAGAGAATGAGATCAGCAAGAGAATGAGATAAGCAAGAGAAGGAGATAAGCAAGAGAAGGCGATTAGCAAGAGAAGGAGATTAGCAAGAGAAGGAGATTGTCAAGAGAAGGAGATTAGCACCAGAAGGAGATAAGCAAGAGAAGAAGATTGTCAAGAGAAGGAGATAAGCAAGAAAAGGAGATAAGCAAGAGAAGGAGATTGTCAAGAGAAGGAGATTAGCAACAGAAGGAGATAAGCAAGAGAAGAAGATTGTCAAGAGAAGGAGATAAGCAAGAAAAGTAGATAAGCAAGAGAAGAAGATTGTCAAGAGAAGGAGATAAGCAAGAAAAGTAGATAAGCAAGAGAAGGAGATTGTCAAGAGAAGGAGATTAGCAACAGAAGGAGATAAGCAAGAGAAGGATATAAGCAAGAGAAGGAGATTGTCGAGAGAAGGAGATAAGCAAGAAAAGGAGATAAGCAAGAAAAGTAGATAAGCAAGAGAAGAAGATTGTCAAGAGAAGGAGATTAGCAAGAGAAGGAGATTGTCAAGAGAAGGAGATTGTCAAGAGAAGGAGATTAGCAAGAAAAGTAGATAAGTAAGAGAAGGAGATTGTCTAGAGAAGGAGATTGTCAAGAGAAGGAGATTAGCAAGAGAGGAGATAAGCAAGAAAAGTAGATAAGCAAGAGAAGGCGATTGTCAAGAGAAGGAGATTAGCAAGAGAGGAGATAAGCAAGAGAAGGAGATTAGCAAGAAAAGGAGATAAGCACGAAAAGTAGATAAGCAAGAGATGGAGATAAGCAAGAGAAGGAGATTAGCAAGAGAAGGAGATTAGCAAGAGAAGGAGATAAGCAAGAGAAGGAGATTGTCAAGAGAAGGAGATTAGCAAGAGAAGGAGATAAGCAAGAGAAGGAGATTAGCAAGAAAAGGAGATAAGCAAGAGATATGGCTATGACTGAGCTTGAGACACAGAAACATGTATACTTATTGTTAAATCATCAATATCTGCAGTCGTAAATACTGACAGTATTGATACCTGTAGATATATTATCTAATAACAAAGAAATTGCATCTAAAAGTGTTGGTAGACTTTGGCAACTGTTGGATAAACATAGTGACTTTAGTTTTGTCAAAAACAATCTTTAGGTAGATTTCATCAAACAGTTGCTAAGGGATAATTTACAGTTTTGCCTATAGAGCATATGCAAAGTTCATATTGGAGGAAATTGTTCAGACACTTTTTATACATCTACAGTAGGAATATAGTGTTCGTCCAAGAGTATGCTTTATGGATGCTAAGAGAAAAACAAGGTAAAAACTTCAGAAAAATAAATTCAAAATCTTTTATAGAAGTGTTGTTGAATTATTCAAATTTGGTTTGATTTTTTTTTAAATCTGATGGATGCGGGGCCCAAAAAAAGGCCAAAATCATTAAAGTCTTTTTGACAAATGTGGTCGCCTAATATATACTACTCACATATGTAGTTAATCCCTTAAAATGGTAACGATGAGATATTCACTAAAAAACTTAAATTGACCAAAACTCATCCTAAATAAACAGAAACTGTTTTAGTATCGAGTGTGACGCCCATGAGCATCAATTACAGCTTCACAACGTCTGCGCATGCTACGAATGAGATCATGTGTCTGGTTTGGTGGGATAGCATTCCACTCAGCCACCAAGGCTGTTCACAGCTCCTGGAGCGTTCTTAGCTGAACATTTCTGGCAGAGAGAGCTGTCTGCAGCATGTCCCAAACATGCTCGATGGGATTTAGATCCAGCGAGCGGGCTGGCCAATTCATTGGTTGAATAGTCTCTTGCTGTAGATACTGCTCAGTCACCCTTGCTCTATGTGGCCAAGCATTATCGTCCATAAGGATGAAGTCAGGACCAACAGCGCCAGCGTAGGGTCTGACATAGGCATCAAGGATTTCATCGCTGTAAATCCGGGCTGTAACGGTAACATTATGGAAGACATGGAGGTCAGTTTTCCCACAAAGGCTTATGCCTCTCCATGTTAAACTGAACCTCCGCCATATCGGTCATGTTCCACAACATTACTTGCCTGGAACCTTTCCCAAGGTTGACTCCATACTCTAACATGCCTGTCGGTGAAGTCGAGACACAATCTGGACTCTTCAGTAAATAGAACCGGTTCCCATTCCTGAAGAATCCAAGTGCTGTGAGCTTGGGTCCAATCTAATCGGTCCCTAACATGGCAGGCAGTTAAGGGAACTGGTATTGCTGGTCTACGTGACCTTAAACAAGCATACTGAAGACGGTTCCTAATTGTCTGTGTTGCTACCCGGGTACCAAAAGCATTTAGGGGTTATTTCGTAAAGCAGTGTCAGTCTTGAACCTGTGGCGCCGTGCCTGTATGAGCAAAACTCGGTCTTGGCACTGTGTTGTAGCCCTAGAACAACCTCCAGCATTATGTCTGGAAGGGTTTCCGCTAGTTTGGAAACGATTCCGCATTCTTGCCACCACACTTTGAAACACCCCAAGGTCTCCTGCAACCTGACGTTGAGACATGCTAGCTTGCAGCATTCCGATGCCCCTATTCATTTCACCTTCATTTAACCTTTGTCTGGTTCGTCTTTGTGCCATATTAAAACAAAAACACGCAAAGAATATTCATCAAATTGATTTCCGACACAGAACGATTTGGCACCCAAAACAGTACGAAAGGAAAATATGATATCCTTTCTAACATTTTGATATTTTTTCTCTCAAAATATAGGTGATCCTTAGCAAATGTGAGTAGTACATATATTTTTGGGGTTGTATGGTCACTAGTTGCATTAGACAGACGGTTAATGTGTACACTTAAGGTAATAGGATTGTGTCGCCATTTCTTAGTAGAATTTATTCAAATTTTGTAGTTATATTGCTTTGAAGTAAAGAAAATTTCTGCCATAAAAAAAAAGATAGGTTGTCAGAATTTTAAGGATTTTAAATGGTAATTTATGTAAAATGGAGTGAATTTTGAAAAAAAAAGTGAAACACTTTTTTTTGCACAATAATGTCAATAAAAATGATACTAACATAGATTAGTATTGCATTAATGTATATCAATTTCATGAATGCTGAAATTGTGTAAAATTAATTATCTATAAACAATTAAAAATTGACATTTTATAATAAAACCATATACACATAGAAAGGCATGCAAGAGTTATCATTCTTGAAAAACTTCACAGTAGTGAAATAGGTAGCCGGTTTCCTGAAGTACAGAAAAAATGGACAAATGTAACTCATTGATTAAAAAACAACTGAATTAATGCCTGGATTGCTTTGCAGTACTTTAATATTAAAAGAACACACTGTTCTGTCAATAATAAGCATACACTATTTATCAGTTTAATATTAAACATTAGAATATGCGGAAATTGTGATACTGTCTCCCTACATTGGATTTTAAAATAGGGATGTATTTCCTTTTTCCGTTTAGCAATACACTCCTATGACCTAAAGCTACATATAGTAAAAGCTGTCGGGAGAGATTAAAAGTGGCTGCATAAGACATGATTGCATGTGCAGATTTGAATGTATTTGGGAATAAGTAGATGTCAAGATTAGTCGAGGGCAATTTGACCTGCAATCTGATCGGTTCAGCTGTATAATGTTATAAAGCGCCCAGTTTGTATGTCATCACCATGAATTCAGGACAGCATAAATGATGTCATAAACATCAAGACTGAAATGTCTCAAAAATGCTGTAACTAGTATGCAACATTTGCATAATAAATTTGATAATCAGATTAATAAAACTGAAATTGTTTTTGTTTCCATTTCACAATGATCATAGAGATATTAATGAAAGGTTACCAATGCAATTATTTTTAGCCCACCATCATCTGATGGTGGGCTATTCAAATCACCCTGCGTCCGGCGTCCGTTGTCCGTCGTCCGCCGTCCGTCGTCCGTCCGTAAACAATTCTTGTTATCGGTATTTCTCAAGAAGTACTAGAGGGATCTTTCTCAAATTTTATATGCAGGTTCCCCTTGGTCCTTAGCTGTGCCGGACAACTTTTGAGACTGATCGGATAAACAACATGCCCGAGAGGCAGCCATCTTGGATTTTGATAGTGAAAGTTTGTTATCGCTATTTCTCAAGAAGTACCAGAGGGATCTTTCTCAAATTTTATATGTAGGTTCCCCTTGGTCCTTAGCTGTGCAGGGCAACTTTTGAGATTGATCGGATAAACAACATGGCCGACAGGTAGCCATCTTGGATTTTGATAGTGTGGGTTTGTTACCGCTATTTCTCCGGAAGAACTAGAGGGATCTTTCTTAAATTTTATATGTAGGTTCCCCTTGGTCCTAGCTGTGCAGGGCAATTTTAGAGACTGATCGGATAAACAACATGGCCGACAGGCAGCCATCTTGGATTTTGATAGTGAAAGTTTGTTATCGCTATTTCTCGGGAAGTACGGGAGGGATCTTTCTCAAATTTTAAATGTAGGTTCCCCTTGATCCCTCGTTGTGTATGTTATATTTTGAGACTGATCATAAAAACAAAATGGATTAAAAGAAGAACTAAACAGATCTTTCTCATATTGCAATGATCGATTCTATTTCTTTCACATTAAGTACTGTACTAGTAAATATGTGAAATGACAAACTCACTTTGAAGGTTGGCTTTCATACACATCAGTATTAAGTTTAGATCAAAAGTTACCTCAAGGTGCATTTACTGTTAACATGACTCGATCAAACAGATTAGAGGAAAGAAGAGAAAAGATCGAACTGACAAAGAACTAATGAAGATGGTACAAAGGTGGGCGCCAAGATCCCTCTGGGATCTCTTGTTTTTAATTATTTTGTTTTGTTGCCAATTTCATCAGGGATTTAATTTTGCGAATGCATAATGATTACTGAAATCAAGTACTTGTTTTGAATTATGGGAAGAAAGGTGGGAAAATAATTAACACTGATACCAGGTGTTCCACCAGTGATTGATGAATATAAAGCCCATCCAATCCCGAGTACAAATCTGTGAACTTTATATCAATGGAAGTTAACAATTGTATAGTTTGATAGATGGGATGTCCTTCAAAAGATTTGTAAGCTCCTGCAATATTGGATTGTTTCTCGTTGAATTCCATGTATATTTTACGAGTTGGTAGGATACAGGTATTCTTCATGATTGTGAATCATGAGTGAAAAAAAATCAGTGTATTCTAATTTCTGCTATACAAGTAATGTATAAAAGTCTTTAACTGGTTCACAATTTTCTATTAATTACGTTTTAAACCATTCACATTGACAAAACATGTAAATATTCCCCTATCATCAAATTGAGGAAATCAAAAAGGTAATATTTTGTGCCATGTTCTATTGGCGCTATATTAAAGAACAAGGATCTGAGTTATTTGGAATGGCTACTGAATACAGTTCTACTGGGGTTTTTTTGCTACAATCTGGTAAGATTTGCTTACACAAATGTTATTCATTGGAAAATATTCATTTTGGTGTTCAAAGGTGTCCAAAACAGCCACATGTTCTGTTTCTTCATTTACATACGAACAAACAATCTCAGCTTTTGTGACATTGAATAGAAAATGGTGATTGGTCAAAACTAAAACTGATACACTATCATACTTTGACAAATATAAAAAAAAAAAAAAGTGATGACAGAATCCAGTATCACACTAGAAAAACTGTAAAAGCATTTGGTTTAAATATCAAGAACGTAATACCCATGATGGTATCATTGTCAAGTTTCAAATGGCATCCCTTTCTACCTAAGGTGTGTCAACCGTCTCAAGGAGTTGACCAAGAATGACTGTGTCCATTTGTCCAGAGTGTATGCTGACCTCTGCATCCTTAGCCTGGAAACTGGCAACATCACACGGGCATTGACAATGGGTAAGTATTGGACACTCAGTACTGATACATACATTCTGTAGGCACTGACCATGTGTAAGTAGTGGACACTCACTCAGACATTGACACCAATATCTCACAGGCACTGACCATGTGTAAGTAGTGGTCACTCACTCACACATTGACACCAATATCACACAGGCAATGACCATGTGCAAGTAGTGGTCACTCACTCACACATTGACACCAATATCACACAGGCACTGACCATGTACACGTAGTGGTCACTCACTCAGACATTGACACCAATATCACACAGGCACTGACCATGTGTAAGAAGTGGTCACTAACTCACACATTGACACCAATATCACACAGGCACTGACCATATGTAAGTAGTGGACACTCACTCACACATTGACACCAATATCACACAGGCACTGACCATGTACAGGTAGTGGTTACTCACTCAGACATTGACACCAATAGCACACAGGCACTGACCAAGTAGTGGGCACTCACTCACACATTGACACCAATATCACACAGGCACTGACCAAGTAGTGGACACTCACTCACACATTGACACCAATATCACACAGGCACTGACCATGTTCAGGTAGTGGTTACTCACTCAGACATTGACACCAATATCACACAGGCACTGACCAAGTAGTGGGCACTCACTCACACATTGACACCAATATCACACAGGCACTGACCATGTGCAGGTAGCGGAAAATCACTCAGACATTGTACCGAATGTTATGCAGGCACTGGTCAAAATGCTGCCATTATATTTAAATAATCTCCCTATTCAAGTGTAGTTTAGATTAGGGATAAATATGTTATGCAATCATTTTAAGACGTCCATTTGCATAGTTTTGGATTATAATATTTTCTTTAATTTTGTCAACTGGAGAATAAGTCCCTTGGTCATAAGTTTGAAACAGTTGAGTTCTCTACCCTATATCCATATATAGTTGGCATAAAAACAGTATACAGATACCCTACAATGTACCAGAATTGGCTGGGAGTTTACCGCTACCCTTAGGGAGTACAGAGTTCGTAGATAATGCCCTAAAAATAAAGTGTTGGCCTTGAAAAGCCATAAAATTCATTAAAAGGATCTAACAGTCCCTAAATTTAACAAAAATGTTTTGTAAAGGCCACAGTGAGCCTTGAATATGACCAAATGATCATTAAACTATAGCTGTATTTTAGCCACTTAATGGGTTAATTTTATGGTGTTATTTTAAAAACATGAATTTAAAAAGAAAATACAAGGAAACAAAATTCTTGCGACGAGTTTACTTTTAGATTTCCAGAATTCACAGACAAGTGTGTTTTATTTAAGTGTTGTTTAGTGTTTGTATGATAAGTTTAGAGACATTTAGAGGATTTACAAATGATGGGTGATTTTAGGCCTTTATTTTTCTGAAAACGGCACTAATAAGGTCGTTAAAAAAAGTCTTAAATTTCATAGTACTATTCCTGAACGAACACTTAATACAGTTGCATAGCATGAAGAGATAAACCCAATCATGGTATTAGAATAGGTTCAGGTTAATCAGGACTTAGATGCTACACCATACATACACAATTGCTGAATATGAAGAGACGCTTAGCCTATATTCCATACCTTTTCCTAAGTACCTAGATATTTATGTTTTTTATCAAGGATAAGCAGCAGGCTGAATTAACTTCTTCAGTCCTAATTTTGACATGGTCTCCTTCATTTTTCTAATAAACCTGTATGTTAATTTGTAAAAGTTTTAGATGTTATTTTCCAGTTAGTATAAAAAAAAAATGCCAGAAAGTTATGAAAAAAGTTATATGTTTGAAGTGAGACTATCATTGTTCCCCCATGATGTAAATATGCAGAGAGAAACTCACAACTTTTCAAACAGGCTAGTGACCATTAAATAACTAGAAAGTTTGTGCAGGGTTTCTGACTTGGTGAAGTTTGTCAAGAAACGCTCTTGCTATCCAATCAATATCTGTTTTTGCCTAATTTGTAGGGTTCAGCAGCATTGACCTGGCTGAAAAGACCAGTGATGACTCTTTCATGAAAAAAACGGGACACAGCCTTGGCTTTGCTCTCATCCTAGCAAACAAGTATGCCTATTCATTTAAAACTTCATTTCTAAATTAAAATATTGACCTTTCGCTTGAATTACCAAAATTCGTCTTAAATCAATTATCAGTTCTTCAGATAGAACTTCTTTGCAGTGGGCAACTCATCCCTACTTGATTTCGAAGAGTGAAAGTGGGTTTTTTTGACGTATCAGTAGGGGTAGTACTATGCACAATATAAATAAGAGTGCATATTAGAATTGACGGTTTTGAACATAGTCTGTTCTGAAGTAGACTACTGTTAGTGTGTTGATTGGTGTCTACCTCAATTTTTTTTGACACCAAAAAAAGGGATTTTCATCTCCCCTCCAAAGTATTCATTTCTAATTACTTACGTTGCAGCAACACTGGATAGTCCGGACTAGTATCGTTTCTTCTAGTTATATCTTCCCTAAAGATTGAATTTAAAAAATGCAACATTTAATTGTAGAAGGACTGTTTTTTTGTCTGCTATTACAACCTTTTCCGGGCCATCACTTTAGAAACGTAACTTGAAGGATAGCTTCATGCTTCATCACCCACTGATGATATGCATTCCTTCGAAACCTTGACAAATGAACAATGCAAGAACGTTTTCCGATTCGAGAAAGGTGACTTGACCATTGCATACAATGTCTTCTAAATTAAAAAGAAGTTGAGTGAGTGCCCTAATCAGACGATATATACAGGCGTAGAAGGAATGCATATTTTGCTATAACTGTCTTATCCTAGTCGTTGGACTTGGTTATCGCTACAGCATTTGGACGAGTTTACACGGCCGTTCGATCGGGCCAATGCGGAACGGTTTTAAAAAGGTTTTAGGGACCGTAAGACTAAAATGAAGATTTTTCAGAATTTCAACGGCCACGAGGGTCGTGTCATCAAATGTCAAAGCATAGATGCAAGTACCTGTTCCTTTGCTGTACCGTGATAGCTGTTTAAATAGAAGTGAACTTGTTAGAATAGTTAATCTATTACTGAATATTGAGCTTTTTTCAGGTATCATTATTTTGGCGTTAAACTTTTTCCTGATTTATTTACTGTTTTGTCCTGCTCTGTTCAGCTTCTCCTTCTTTAGTTCCTTCTTTCTTTCATCTCCTTCAAGCAACTCAACGAATTCTTCAAGAATTTAGGTTGTACAAAGAAGACTGACTGAAATGTTGGACATTAAAATTCAAGAAGATATTTAGGGAATTGCGTTTTCAATTAATTTAAATTTATAAATCAATGTTATAGAGATAAAATAAACACTCCTATAGATTTGATGAAACAGTTATTATGCAGTAAACCTCAAACAAAATATTGCTCGAATGTGGCCCATTTAAAGTTAAAGGGAAACTCCGTCATCATAGTATTAAATACCAATTGTGACTTCATTTATTTAAGTTTAATATTCCACTCATTAGGCGTTGGTCGCCGTCTATAAGTTTCAACCAAGGTGTATTTCTGGGAAAAGGCTCGGACGTGATGACAGAATACCCGTGTTTTTAGGTTACACGTACATACAAGTATGCTTGCTAAACCTCTCGAATCTGTTCTTTTGCACGCCCAAACGTTTGTCACATACTGCCTAATTTCATTTCATTTACAAGCCAAATTCATATATAAAAATTACCCTTTCTACGTCCGGTTATTAAACTAATCATCATTTACTACCAACTTTTTAACTCCGAAACGAAAGTTGCAAATGTCCAGCGTCAATAGGAAACTACTCCCTGTTCAAACCAGACCATCGTAGGATAGTTGTGAAACTATATCTCTAGATCCATCAGGTCTTGTTCCACAGCTATTTGATGTGGTAAATTGATCTTCTCGTGGCCTCTGATCCCCTTGTAGCAGACTATTTACCACATGTGTTTCCTAGAACGGCTTCTCGTGCTATTGCCGGCTATCATTGGGCTATTGCTTGTATCCTGGCTTTTACGAGGTGATCAGAGTTCTGGACTTCACCTCCTTTTCTGCCATTACTAGAGGGTTTTTTTCATCGAGAGATTCACTACGTAAGACGAAACACATAATTATTGGACGTGGTAAGTATTGTGTTTGATAAATTGGTATTGTAAACCTAATTTTTATGATAAAACTTTTCCCCACGCATCCTACGCCCGTGTGTCCGATCTAAACACGGAGTATTGACGTATTTGCGCAGGACATTGATTTTTTTTCTAGGGAGTTTAAGAACTGATATATAGGTATGCCTTTTTATCATAAAAATGGGTTTTATGAGGGAAAAAAACCCAACTCAAGTCACAGCTGATGTCATAGTTTCTGGACACTGCAGGCGATGGATTCTATGGATTTTTTAGAGATGTACTTACACGCGCGCATCTTCAAACGTCACAGCAAATTCTACAATGACAAGACACGCACGGTTCAATCAGCACATGCACATTTTATTGTCCAATTATACGTCATTATTGGGCAATGACTGCTATTACGTCACTTACGTGGTAGAATTAATGCTAGCGCATAGTTTGAGTTGCATGATCTATTTCCATGTATTTGCTCGTTTTAGTAAAGATACATTTTCACGTCCTTGATCCATTCACATATTTGATTTATATTTAACTGTACGGAAGTTTGGCTATTCTGGTTAGCGATAAATAAGCAGATTGTTGTATCAACCGCAAAGAGTATGATAAGACTATTCAGGAACTTTGGCATATCGTTGACGAATATAAGAAAAAATATGGGGCCTAAAACACTGTCCTAGCTGGGTTACACACACGATACTTTCTCTGGTTGTAAGCGAGACCAATTGACAATACTCACTGTGATGAACCTTATTGGACATTTTATGTATTGCAAGACTAATTTACAAAAATGTAGATAAGAAATTCGAGGGACACCTTATCGAACGCCAACGTGAAGTTTAGGTAAATAGCGTCTACGGTATTACCTCTTTCCAGTGTCGGCATACAATGCAAAAGAACCTCAAGTAGTTGGGTTAAACATACAACTGTACGTCATTATGCTCCATTCGCTCCAAAACATGTTCTTAGACGATTGTTTGCATAATTTCACAAAGGACTTTTGTCAGGCTAATAGGATTCCAGGGTATTTATCTAAATGGAATCTACTAGCGGGAGATCTTTGCCTCAAAGGACTTGGCATATCTGCACAACTAAGGGATTGTGTGCATGCATACGTTGAAAACATTGTAAAAATAATGAAATGCATTTTAGAAATATTTTTTATTATTTCAGAAATATTTTTTTACACTTTTCATAATGATATTGGTTAAACGATGACAAGTATTCGCACTAAATTTAAAAAAATGTATTTTGTACTTAAAATATGGCATTTAAATTTGTTTTGTTTAGCATTCTTCAAACAAATTTTTCGGATGAAACTCCGTGTTCAATGTACCACTCAATTTGATCAACTCCGCATTCGTTTGTGACCTAAGATAACAACCCTTATCCTAAAAAAAACACTGCAATTGTACGAATTATTTGAGGTTGAATTAAAAATATGAATAACTGGAAAAATAACAGACCTGGTGGAGATGGCATCGTAACAGAGTTCCATCAAATATATTTGTATGTTTTCAAAAACTATTTTTAGAACTTGCAAGTGTAATATGTAGAGGCAATAGGATCGCAGAATCGCAATCAAAAATAAATTTAGTATTATTGGACAATAACGGAGAACATTACGATTTATTTTTAAAAAAAAGGAGACTGTTGACACTTATTTATAAGTTTTAAAAATAAAGCAAGTTTCGAAAAAGTAAAAGATCATAGATATTAACTTTTATGAAGATCAGAAAGGGGATTCTTTACACGGAAGAAATATTGCTCGTGCAAAAAGACTGATATCAGATATTCCTTAATCTACCGGTTTGAAAAATGAAGAAGGGTTCATTATTTTCTTTCATCAGCTAAAACCCTTTCGATGGGGATGTATAGATAAATGTCTTAAGCACAAATGCTATAATTAGATGCTAAAACAACATCACGTTATTTTTAAATAATAAATTATATCTATTAAGCTTGTCTATTATGAAAACGTTTACGCGTCAATACGTTGCATGTATCTCATTTCTACAGAAATCTTCTAACGGCATGGTACAATTTTTAGAAATCAGTATGCCAAGAGATAGAAACGCACAGTTAAAACACTTTTTTTCGTATCTATGTGATACAATTCAACACAAAACCTATGATTTGCAGTTTTTTTTCAAAAGGGACATACATATAATAGAAGAAGTATGGTATTCAATGCAAAAATATATATACTGATGAGTGAAGTAGTCGAATTTTCCGTCAATAGTTTCACCACTAGATATTGTGGGTAAGTGCAATAAGAATGAGACACTACAAACGGCAGTACTGAGCCAGAAGTAAATAGGGAATTAGAAAATATACCATAAACAGTGAAATTTAACAAAAAATATTTGCAACATTCTGACATCATTAAACTTCAGGAATTTTACGCAGAAGTGAAAATAATTAGGTTCGGAAACTCTAGTGGAAATATATTCTTTAAATGTAAATATATATACAATAGAATTATTATAAGTTATGAAGATACTAAATGAAGGACACTGTTCCTAAAAATAATAATCAAGCACTAGAAACTGAGGAAAAGGAAATATTTGAATATCACGAAAATTATGTATTTTCTATATTGATAAATAGTCATATGAAATGGCTGCTGTATTTTCTATTTTGATAAAAATCGTCATATCATAAGCACAATGTTATGGAAGTGACGAAATGAGATGAAGTTTCATAACAAATATACAAATGTTGAACCAACAAAATTAAAAATAAGGAAATAAATAAAAATGGAATTTTGATTAATTTTTGAACCAAACCAAAACAAAAGTTTTAAAAAGGTGACGTTGTATCACACATGTATGAAAATATAAATTGATTTGAGTGTTATTGAAACCAATGTGCAGTATTGAGCATAAGTACATAAAATGGCGCCCTAATGTGAAATGTAAATAAAGCCTTTTTACTTCAAATGGGAGCTTGGCCAATCGTGCTGGTAAGTCGGTTACACAAGCTGCATGTTGATAGTTGTATTTACATTATATGTATACTTCATAGTAATAAAATGATTTCAGTGAAAAAATTATATGTAATTATAAAATATGCAAGTTCAGAGAATATTGTGATAGGATAAGATGCGATATAACATGCTTGACTTTCCCTCCAATCCTGTTCAAAACACGGGACTGACTGGTATCTATGCAATTTGGGAGAGGGGGAATAAACACATCAAAATCAAAAGACAATTTTACATCATGAGCTATTTCTCCCAACTGATCCACCCACGATGACGGTATACACGTTATAGACCGTCAGGACAAAAAGAAAACGAAACGGGACTCACCTGTGGCAAAAAACTCGTCATCATTGCCTCATTGAAAATGTTCCTGGAGCTTGTATCTTCAACCAAGCCATACAATGCATGCGACTTAATAGAGTGATGGAAGGGGCAAACGAATGGTGCTGCCATATTGCCAATAGTCAATAATAACCCAATTGCCTTACCCCTAACCAACTTCGGACAGTAGTATCCTAAGTAAAAGACAAAGAAATTGAATTGAAATTGCGGAAAGCAATGTGTATCTGTGAAGATATATATATATATGCATGTGTGTGTCTCGTAAGTAATATCGCAGTTCATATAAACACGAAATTGATCACTATGTATTCATTATATGATATAACAACTTACTGACTTCAAAACTAGCAGCTTTCATCCTTTACGGGGCTCTTTAGGTTTATTTCAAAGGACAACTTGAAGAGACCTGTGTAGGATGAAAGCTGTTAGTTTTGAAGTCAGTCGTTATATCATATATTTTTATATTTTCATCAATTACTTATCCGCTTCATATGGATATTTAATCATTTTCATTACATGTATAAACACCTATACAAAACTAATTCAAAAAGTTACGCATTTGTTCATTTCCCTGTATATACTTTTCAAAAACCGAAATTGCATTTATAATGAATTTGTATTGTGAAAAACAGAATTTTGCCAAAATGATTATGTTATGATATCATTATAGTTTGTGTTTTGACAGGATTGACATGTGTATAGACTTACTGCTGAAGCTTAGAGGAGGAATTCCCGACAGGATCACATCGAGTTGGTATTATGCTCTTTGTCTTGAGTTGGTTCAAAACGGAGGTAGGTCCTGTGTTTTGTGGTAAATATAGTTCAAGTAACAGCTGATCAGATTATTCTTGATAACGCATAGGTGTAGAGTTATGAGGGACCATGTTTTACTATCCTTTCACTTAAATATATGCTTTGTTCTCGTTGCTTTTTGCCCGCCAAATTTAAAAGAATGAGATGAGCTGGCAGCTTCCAGTTTTTGACCATATTAATGCTTGATGCAATTTCTCCTTTAGCACTTCGACCTCCCAGGGGTCGAAGGGGCGGGGCAAAATACGGATAATTTGGCCTTATTGCTTTAAGCAAGTTTCCTTTTGATTTATGTGATGAATATCAAGCATTCTCAAATGGTGGGAACACATGTGTGTCTGGTGGAGCTAACCCACAGTCAACTCCGATAGCGGACCAAAATGGAGATATCTGGCTATATTGCCTTGGTCAACTGAATATATGAAGTGGTTATAAACCATACGATATCGGGATTGGCCAAAGGATCCGTCCTCGGCTCTGGAGCCTTAGTCCCTTGATCATAAAATTTGAAATGATTGAGATCGCCGCAATATAACCATGTATACATTTGCTTGGCATAGATAAACAAACACAATCATGTATCAGAACTGACACTTGAACCTCATCCTGCCAATAGGGACTTAGTCCCTTGGACAAAACATGTAATCAATTGAGTATCCGACTTAAATTGCTAGGCATGATAAGACAAGACATGAAAACAATTGTGATTTTCTCCCTTAAACTATATACACTATTGCCGTTAGGCTTGGCCCTAGGGTTTTACCTCGGCGATTGTAATGAAAAGAACATATATATAAACAAGTAGTGATAGCTTTGTTCCTGGGTCAAAACATGGAACCACTGAGATCACCACACAAACAAACATATCTTTCGTATATGTCATATGAAGTACATCCACTCGGAGTGAGATCTAAGACGATTTATTACTAATCCATTACTCTGATGAATGAGCAGTCACAAGAAACGAAAGAATAGATGGTTCATCACTATGATATACCCTCTTTCTAGTGAGAAACATCAGACTCATCGTCGAGTCTTCTTGGTACAACCGTGGTTTTAAAAGCCATATTCATATTATTCAATGGAAAAAAATCGTAATCGGTGTCGAGGTCCCTATATTGGCGACAAGGATATTGCTTGGTTAGATAGATTAATATTACCAATAGTTATGTAATATATATTAAATTTGCTACTAGACCATACAGTAGCGTGCACAGTTTGAGATATGAGACTGCTAAAAACCGAAAAATTCGCCCGGTCAAGGTTTCGCCCTTTCACAGAATATTCCTTATTCCTCCAGTGTTAATTATGCCCTTCACACTTAATTACTTTGTTGTTTACTGATGTTCGCTGTAGTGATAAATTTGCCCTCGTTACGACGGACGAAAAAGGCGAAACTGCAGCAAATATTTCCCGGTATACAGGAACAAGAATGATTTTTAATGTTTATTTGTTGTAAGACTCTGGTCCTGAACACTTCATCAGCTGTTTGACGTTTTCCACCAGTCTGTTCAAAAGTATGGACGCAGTGAGAGGCGAATACTCTAGTAGATACTACCTGGCTATGTGTATGGCGATATAGTAAGTGCATGTGAAACTGATAAGAATGATCCAGTGTAATTTGATAACGCTATATATATGTGTGTTACTCAGTAAAATGCTCCAGTCAATACTACCTAGTCATGGTTAAATAGCAATGTGTGTGCAATGTAATAAATAGTTGTGTTACAACACCAGAATTGTTCAGTAGATACAATATGGCTAGAAATTATGAGATTACTCAAACAGAAACTACCTTGATATGTGTAATGAAGAAGGTTGGTGTGTAACCAAACTCGATTATTCCAGCATATACTAATTCGCTATGTTTTGTTTAGTTTGTATGTAACTTAATCGAACACGCCAAACGATACTACCTTACGATATGAAATGTAAAAAGCGTTACTAGAGAAGAACGCACAAATATATACATTTAATGTAGGATGTATGTGTGTAACTATACCAGCATGATCCAGTAGAAACTACTTACCGATGTGTAAATCATTAGGATAGAATACTCCAACGAGTCCAGTAGATACCTGGCTTTGTTAATGAAGATACCAAGATGAAGATATGAAAATGGAATAGGGTGTTCGAATCATATATGATTAGTCGATGAGCAGGGTAAGTATTTAAATGAATATTAACAGTTTTTGAAGAAAATAATAATAAATAATAATAATAATTGGAAGTTCTTATATACCGCTTTATCACATCCTAGTTCGTAGGTCGTCTCAAAGCGGTTCACAAATTATTATCCGTGGTTATATGTCCTTTGCAACCAGCCAATACATTTCTCAACTCCCTGGGGAGCATACAGCCGGAGCTGCCATTTCGGCGCTAACAGCTAGCATTCAACAATTCTAGCACTACCCAGCCAGGTACTCATTTACACGAGCCCGGCGTCCTACCACTGAACTACCGTGCCTCCTAAGAAAACAGCATTTTAACTAATTTGCTTAGCTTGATGATCAAATTGAGTCATGGTGAAGTGGACCTGAAATCAGCATGTTATTCTGTTATGTTTCATTTGTAAACACAATCAAACTGTTACTGGTCTAAAATGGGTAATTAACCCTTTACTCCATAATGACGCCTTTTGACGCCTCCCTGTGCTACCTCAGTTGAAAAGTTTTGCCCTTGCGTAATCTGTATCAGACTTCATCAAATTTGTATCCAAAATAAAAAAGTATATACTTGTGAATATCTGGCGTTAATTTTCTTGATGAAAAAAATGTTTATCAACATACATGATAGTTTTAAACATTTTTTTTTTTTTTTTTTTTTTTTAATGCCGTCGCCATTTTGTCGAACTTTTTGTTGGCAACTTTTCAAAACACTGAAATTGCAGTGTTTACGATTTTTATCATGAGTTATTCATACCACCTGTTGTTTGAATGCCTAGTCTTCATTTTGTACGATACAGTTTTGAGTTGAATGAGTTTTGGTAAGATTTTTTTTTTAATTTAAAAAATGACGGAAGACCAAGTCGATGTCCTTTCCCAGTTTGGAGCAGTACAAATTTGCAATAAATTAATATAAAATACACAATTGTGTTTAAAATAAGATTCGAAATATCAGAAATTCAATTAAGAACTGAAAGATATGCAGTCGATTCCATACCTTTCTTTTTTCCCCGATACATTTTGGACAAGATATCGTGTATAATGTAAACATGTGAATTCTTGGGGAATACCCTTTTCTGTCTTCCGGCGATTAACGCATCAATGAGTCATAAAGTGGGCGGGAACTGAGAACTTTTATTAACCAGAAAAGAAAAGAAAAATCAATGATATATTTTATGAAAATACATTTTGTAACATGATTTTGAAGCCTCAATAATTTTCTTAATAAATTGAACGTGAATAACGAGTTTTTCAACTTTTTCTGCTCGAACTTCTAAACCCCGCCCACCGATCGGAATTCATAATATAGTACAGTACCCTACTTGCAGTGATGTTTTCACGCAAAAAAGACGATTAACATTTTTCTCATATTTTATTTCAATAAATATATTATTTTTATATGGATAAAACTGTTACCATGGCAACAAAATATAAAAAAAAATACTAAAGGAAAGGTGCAATACCATATATATATATAAAGCTTATGGTATGTGTGTTGTCCGTCGTCCGTAAACATTTTCTTTGAATGACTTCTTAAGAATTGGAGGACCTAGGGCAATGCTATTTTGTAGGTCATTGGGACAGAGTTCTATAAAGTTTCCTCAAATAAATGAGATTGACTTACTTTCGAGGTCACAGGGGTCAATTATGTAAAATGTTTCAAACAACTCTTGATTAACCAGGAGGCCCAGAGTAATGAAATTTAGCCAGTTTGTACCCTGGACAGAGTGCTATAAAGTTTTCCAAAATTAGTTACCTTGACCTACTTTCGAGGTCACAGGGGTCACATATTTAAATATCTTTAAACAACTTCTCCCGAAATTCCAGGAGGCCCTGGGTGATGATATTTGACCAGCGATAGAGTAGTATACGTTTTCATTTAGTCTGGAACATTCTTATTCCAAGGAGACTCAAGTGCTTTTATTGAGAATATTTTTCCCAAGATTCCTCAAATATCCAAGGGAGAGATACAGGCCCTTTAGCCTTTTGTCTTTGATGTTTTTATACATAACTTACAAGGTATAATGTGACAATGATTACAGTGGAAGACATTTGTGAGAGAAACGCTTTAAAAATCCAGGAATGTATTTATGTCACAGCTGCTGCAAAGTTTATTTACAGCCATTACACAAAGGAATTTTTTTCTGAGTCTCAAAGCTCAAATGCAGTTTATACCATAGCATTTTAATGTAAATAACAGGTATTATTCGCTGACAAGTTTTCTTTTCATGGCATTTCCTGTAATTACAAAATTCAAATATCTAACAACCAATAATGATGTTTGAAATTGGCATTTGTTTAATTTTTTATATGGTTTATAATTTGTATCCTACACTATCCAAATCTAATTAATCTAATCTAATTAGGTTATAATCTGAAGTGACACTGTGTGATTTTAATTATAGCTACTGTCGGTGTCAAGACTGGGAGGCATGCCAGCGCTGGTTTGATTACTGGGAATTGTACAGGACAACCGAGTTATCGTTCTTCCCCCTGTACACTTTGTGTAAAGAGGTGGAAGTCAAACTCCTGTCTATCTCTGCGAGTCACGGCAAACCTCACAAGGTCTGGAAACCCCTGCAATCAAGCGTCCGCAAGGTACACACAGACTAAGCACCTGTGTGAGGAGATTTCTAATGGACCGCGATTGCGATTTACATATTTATTTATAAATGGGCTGCACCGACCAATTACAAAATTTCAAAAGGGTTATAGCATTTTAAATTGGCATTTTATCTGTGCTATAGGTGTAAGATAAAGCTTTCCGATAGAATATATTGTGGTGAAGGAGACTGTATGGGCCTCGTTGTCATTGTGAAATTACAATAAAAACAATAGAATTACAACATACATGGTCATTTACTTACTTCGCATTAAAGCAAGGAGGCACGTGTTCTTTAACATCATTACTGCGCCGTGGTAAAAAAAAAAATCCCTTAATATGTCCAAAACAACAGAGTGGGTTTTGATCAAATTTGGTCTAGAGTATCCTTTGGTAAAACATGCTTTGTTACTTCACATGCAGAATCTTGTATGTCAGCGCGCCTTTTGGATGGTGGTGAGTTGCGTATTGAAAGTTTTCTATTGTCCCACAATCTATGGAGTTATAACCATTTTTTCAACATTCATAACGTTGTTAGGAAAACGCACTGTCATGTCACGTATAGCTGTCATTTGTTATTTTTACTTTTAGGGAAACTAAATACCACTTAATACCATGTCATGGCCCTTTGTTTTTATATATCAAAGGTAGTCTAGGAAAGGGACTGACTTTACCTTAATATGTTATCAAAGACAGTCTGAAGTTTTACATCCTCGATATCCAGGGGTTATGCTCACTTTCGCTCTCTACACCCCTGGAATATATAGCAAAATTGAAGGCTCAGTGTGTGCCACCTTGTTGATGAGATACGAAGACTAGTTCGATCTTTTGATATACATCAAAAGAATCTCGCGGTCAGGTAACGGTAAACATTGACAGGCTTTGAAGTCGGGCGTCTCTCCTTTGTAATCTTCAAAGGACATGTATCAGTCTAGCGACTGGTCAGTTTTTTTACCAATCAAACAGCTATATCCGTGCCTTCAATTTTGCTATGAAATATCCCAGGGGTGCAGAGAGCGAAAGTGAGCGTAACCTTTGGATATCGAGGATGGAAGTTTTATCGATGTAATAGAAGATAGAAACTTGCAAAATATTTTTTGTTTTTATTGGTTTTATGGTTGAGTGTCAAAGGGGGATAATATGCAGGATTGTTTATTATTTGAATAATGCTGTTTTTCCAATTTTAAACCACATTTAGATAGTCTTTCAAATATGATGTCTCTTGGCAGATCAAAACTATTCCCGTGTCATTGGTTAAACTTCCGTGTGTTACATATCAGGAATGGAGTTCACTTATTCTATTCATGAAAAAAATAACATTCACGCACTACGCGTTATACAGCTTGCTAGTTTTTCAATCCCGTGCGATCTGTCTGGAACATTTACGTTGCATTTGGCGCCAAATGGTTACTTGGAAACTATGTAGATAATACATTTTTTGCTAATGAGGAAAGAGAAAGAAATTAGTCACACGTTACTGAGCGAGATCGGATTGTAACATAATCCAATCCACGGGTCATCTCACTCGGGTATTTGTGGAAGATCTTATTAATCCATATTATCATAATGAAATGGCTTATGTGATATGTTATCTTATAGAATTTGAAGAGAAACTTGTAGGCATAATGTCCAGGAATAATATCATTCAGCTGTAAACATTTATCTTGATTGCATTTCAGGACCTTGATTTCTTGACAAGAAATGTAGCGATTATCCCTGGCTTGAAGCCCCGGGTGTTCCATCTGAAATCGTACTACTGTGCCCTTTTCTGTAAGACTGGGAAGGCCATGCAAAACCTTAGCAGGGCGAGCAAGGTCGCCCGAGAACAGGGAAACCAATCAGAGTGGAGATGGGCGGAGCACCACAGGCATGTCTGGTTCAATGCACCAAAAGAATGCAGGCAATGGCAAAAGATTCCAAAAGAAAATCCTAATGTTTGGCTATGGAAACCTGAGCGTGGCAACCTTTTCACTTGGCCACTGGAGTGAAGGGTTTGATCTTAATAGATGCATTCTTGGTGCAAGAGAATTAGAAGGACAGAAAATAGCCAAAGAGTTTGCGCAACTTTCTCTCATGCTCAGTAGAACATCATTTATTTTAAAACACTCTTTCTAAATGCTGAACATCAAAATACATTCCAAAATACAATTCAAAATTATGTGACAACATGGTTGTGTCTATAAATATAATAAGGAACTATTCTTGTCATAGAAATTAGGCAAATACTACTTTACAAGAAGGAAGTTTAATTTGTTGAGGTTGTGACAACAAGGTTGTATCTGTAAGTATGATAAGGAACTATTCTTGTCATAGAAATTAGGCAAATACTACTTTACAAGAAGGAAGTTTAAGTTATTGAGCTGGAATTTGGAACATTGAAAACATTAGATCAGCATTGGAAAGGTGTTTTATAATGGCTCTGTATCGAGTTGGGCATCAACACAGGAATGCTCTTTTATAATGGCTTTACATCGAGTCAGACATCCTTTAAAGGGGTAATGGAACTTATTTGAAGAAAGCTGGTTAAATAACTTCACATTCGCGTGTTCAAACTGGTGAAAGCAGTTTTAATTTAATTCATCAGAATGTGATCTTTACAAGATCACTTCTCCAAAACATATGTTTAAACTTTATATTATTTATCGCAGGAAGGTCACCCGTCCAAATATTTGTATTTGAACTCAAAATATGATGTGCTATTGTAAATATAATAATTTTGTCTAATTGTATTGTTATGAATATGATAAATGTCTTATTATGCTATTATAAATTGTGTATAACCGTATAGTGGAAATGTCATGTTGAAGTGGTGTCTAGATTTACATTGCAAACCTGTATTGTGTAAAGGGAGGAAATTCCCTGAATTGTTAATCGTCTAATGAATATAAAGCGTTACATCAGGAGTACGAATTACATATGTTCACTTGTGTCAAACTTTGAGGATGTGTTATCTTCATTATTCATTATAATTCAAGTTGTTCTTTTTTTACTTGAAATTCATGATGAATCTAAAGCAGACATTGCATTATCAAGGTTGGAAAAATTCAGATTCATGTTTTGCTTGTATGAGTTTAATATGATTTCATTTTGTGTATTTTTAAACACGACAAAGAGTTTATTGAAATTAAGCTAGGAACCTGCATGCTCGAACACAGTTTTGCAAACCATTGCAAGGATAATACTCAATTAAATGAATGCTCAAACAAAATACGATGCAGTAAATTATGATTTTCATTTTTCATTCAAAAGATAATTAAGCCTATATTTACCAGTCTGGATATTTCAATGGTACGCTTAACATCAAAAATAGATTCAGATAAATTATACACATTTTTTCAGATTGTTTTAATATTAAGGCGAAAAGTTTTAACAAAATTCAGTTCAGTATGTGTGATTTTGCTTAAGGTGGCTCCACACATCGTCATCAGCGTCCATTTTCGTGACGTACTTCCGGAAAAAGTACAGCTCGGACTCAATTATCTTGATCGAAATGTGCATGTACACCGTGTCGTCATTTCCGTATTGCGTATCGGGCATTCAATTAATGTCGTTGTGCAAATTATAGTTACACCTTGACCGTTTTCGTTTAAACGGTCAAACCGATCGGACCACTGTTGTTCGTTCATTAAATAAGGTCGGACCTAGTAATCTGATGCTGCTTTCAGGCGAGCCGTGAGAAAGCCTTGCAAGGCCTGCATATACATTTGCAGGTCCGCCAGGATTTATACCCGAAATTGTTACATTTATAAACGGTCAAACCGGTTGCTCCGCATACACGAACAGGCCCCTGGTAAACAATAGTACACGTGCGTGCCGATGATATGTCAACACCCGATATCGAGATTTTACTGGGAAATGTATAATCACACGTATTTCAGGAATAAAGCTTTCAAATTCATAGACATAAACAGACTCACGGGAAGATAGTGACATGAGACCAAACGACCTCAAGAAGGTCATATAGGAAACGCATGGAATGCGGACGTACCAACCTCACATCTGCAACACGAGTTCATAAGCTCGAGGTCGTTACGATTTTCGCTGTTGAGGAAGTTTCGCTCTGTCGATTAAATCGTGTTTACAAATGAAGTCTACTTACTCTGAAAATAATGTTTTGTAAAATATCAAGATACCTATAAAATGCATGTGTGAGTGCACATGAGAACGGCATACCATGCGATATATGTACCTGACATGTAATTATAAACATACCGTGAGTTAGCGGACTGTGGAATGATGTCCAAAGTGTACATGACTGAGGGTAATTTGGCTCCATTAAAGAACAATAAATTGATAATTTTGATATCATATTTTTGATTTATATCCATCATTTTTGTTATATGTAAACAGGGACAACTGTCATTGTGTAAATGTCACCCCTCTGCAAAAAGTTCCGATTTTTTTCAAGGAAGATAACTCTTACCCGGATCGAAGTGATTGTAAAATGTAAAATAAATTAATTATAAAGCCATTGTGTTTTTTTTGTTCAATTTCCCATTCTATATGTATAGATCTTTGTGTCCTGTTGGCTTTTAGCTTGTAGATAATCACTTTTATCCGTTCAAATTCAATAAAAAACACTTTGTGTAACATGTGTTACATATTTTGCGATAAATAAAATATTTGTAGGGTTAATTAGAAATGCTTCTTTTCATTTTATTATTGTTGTTATTGTTCCGAACAATGTCACACCCAAAAAAAACCCGGAAAATATTAAAATTGACGAAAATTCAATTTTTTGGTATTTTTTCCAAAAAAGTCCCCTAACCATCGGAGTGTTTAGATTTTCATAAAATCAACTCTACATAGTTGCATAACCATTATATGAAAGTTTCAACGAATTTCGCTCGTTAATTACGAAAGTGTGGAGCCACCTTAAAGCTGACTGTGCAAGTTTAAAAAGCTTTTAATTGAGATTTTTAAAAAATCCTTTTTCCTGGTTTTGAGATCTTCTCCAGTCACATTCAGCTTCCGGCTGTCATATCTAAGGAAGCGCCGATATTTTATTATGTACTTGCTTGGTAACGAGTATGGGTCTAGCTAGGTATAAAAGTGCATTACCCGTCGAACCGTTTATCATTTGTTCAATGTGTGTGCAATGTGGATACTATATACTATATAGATGGCACACTTTCACGATTTTGAACCAACATCTTTATCAGAAAAGTTGAATAAAATTTAAATTGATTACATGAAAGATATCATTTATCAAATAAAAGTGGAAATAATAGTAAGATACGACCAACTAAAACATCTAATGCACACTCCCTGTTGTTTTTAGAATTCTCCTTTCAGCGCCCACTCACACAGAATTCATACGGTGACCGTTTCCGGCGTATTCTAAAAAAAGAAAGGCTATGTAACAGGTTAGCAAGCATGTTGTTCCTGTATTGTACATCAGTAGTCATCATAAACTGCATTGGAGTTAGGGCTACTGAGAAATTGTCTGTATTGTACAAGAAAACTTAGTTGAAAACGAGCAGGGGTTGATCTGCCGTTGCACTCCTGTCAATCTTTTAGCATAATAAAGGTGGGGTTTTTTTTGTATTACTTTCATTATTAATTTTTGTCAGAATTTCAGGCTCCTGTGTGATAACATCCTGTGTGAAAACAATTCTAATTCCAATTATTTCCATAAGAATGGTATAGTTATCAACATTGTTAGTGCGTTTGATTTTTTATATCGGCTGCCGATCAGGGTGTGCGGTGTATTGAATTGCAAAACGGTCAGTTATAGAATGATAACAGGTTTGACAGATAATGCACTTTTTATACCCAGCGAGACCACTACTCGTTACCAAGCAAGGACAAGTTAAAACTTCGGCGCTTCCTCAGAAACGATAGCCGGAAGAGATAGAACTTGGTAAAATCTCAAAACCAGAAAAAGAAAATAAAACTTTTTTTAAACTAAATTGAAAGCTTTTTAACTTGCACCGTCAGCTTTAATGTTGACCATTAGTTTTGTAGTAAAAGTCTATATTATGTTAATACATGTATGTTTGGTTACAGATGGATGAAGACTCTATTTTTAAGTTTGTAGGTGTGTTTGTGTGTTTAGATATGGATGTGATAAAAATAAAATAGAAACAATGGCCTTTCTATCTTTTGTGTAATATCATCTCACAAAAGTACTTGTGAGCTCGTCCATATGGCGTCAACCTGTCTATGGCACCTTACATGATACCATGATTTGTTCACCAGATGATGGCATGGTGTCTGAAATATGAACTTTAGGGGAATTGTTAGATAATTCAAATCTAATGACTGAACATTTGATGAGGAGTTGTTGCTGTATGGCTTTATGGTATGGTTATATAGTATTTACCATAGTAGGTTGATTAAGTAAATGCAGATTTTTGCTGAGCATGCCATTCGTCAATGTTGAGATCTGAAAAAGTTCACGTATGTTAATAAATTAACGACATCGATTTGTGGACAACTTGTACACATTTTACACCTTTGTGTACATACGCTTCACTGGTCATTTGTCTGATGAAGGTGGCAGAATACATACCGTACTAGTCATTGAAACATCACACAGTAACACTTATTGTTTGTGTTACAAGAATCTTTTCGTAATGGTGGATTCATTTTGCGACGTTCGACCGCGACACTACCAGATCAGTGGGTTGATGCGTTTACATAACGACCGTTAATGATAAAGAAAAATATTCCATATACTACTTATATTATTACTAAATTGAAAATTTAAAAGTGATGGAAAAAAAGGGAAAATAGTGTTGTTCACTGCGCATTTTTAAATTTACCCATATTCACTGGAGCTATGTTATCCTAGCAGCCACGGTTATCGTAGTTACAATCGCAGCAACCCGCTTCGAATGGGGTTTTTTCATCGTATAGCATTTGACCATTATATGATGTAAATATACGTGCACCAGAGAATATGTTCGTTGCCAACTGCGTTCATACTAACGTATACGCCGTCAAAATAAAGGTTAACCCTTAAATTAATGCGTGTACAAAAGAAATTCGTATGACAAAAGTGTTATCAATTGATCGACAAGTAAATATGCTGCTTATATAGTTGATCTGGGTAAAGGAGGGTAACATTTGTAAATAACTCTTGCAGTTCTAAAGGACCAGCCCCTAGCAAAGTAGTAATAGAACAATCACGTTCTAAAGTGTCAACAAATACATATACAGCGACTGGATAGTAATTCACATTTTTTTGTAAGAAAACATCCAGTAAATTTACAATATCGGGATGGCGAAAATCAATCCAACATTGTTCATCACTTTGCAGCTTTCCGACAAACTAAGCCAACACGAACACCGAATATGCATCAGAAAAAAATACAGTGGCGAAGATACTAGGGAAGTCAGAAGAAATTTGAAACGAATGAAATCATTGATGGCATTCAAGCAAATTTGGCATCGTCGTCCTTACTCAAACCTGATTTTTCAACGATTTGTTTCCATTAAAACTTCTTTTGTAATATACCCAATTTAATAAATTCTTACATACAAATAATTTTGTAGACTGTACTTATGTAAGAAAAAACATATATTTGAAATTTCACCATCAGTACTCTTTCGAATTTGATAATACATAATGTAATATAATTACTTAACGGCACAATGTGGCATAAGAATGCACAAAGATCCCAAAATGACTTTACATTGGTCTACTCTACTCTATCAGAAGCGGAGTTAAACCAAACATTCCTAAACAGGTGTCAGATCTAGTAAGTAAAGAAAAACATTGAATCGGTGTTATACGTAAAAAATGGATCTTTTATGAACGACGCAAAACCTGCACTGGGGAAAAGAAACCCGAGTTTGCAGCTGCATAGACAAGTCGCAAAATGATAGATGTATACAGCCTGAAACTGAAAGGGGTTGATATTTCATATCCCTCTAACATCATAAACGACATCGTCTGTATAAGGACAACCTAATTTACATATGTCAAGATACACAACAACATGTATGGGTAATTTTCACCTCTTTTACTTTTTGATCTTGTATAAATCATTTCAGATTCATTAAATATTTTGAAGCATTTTAGTGAAACACATTAATTAATTTATCTAGACTACATTTGTTATATGCCAATAATACCACATCATCTGCCTGCGTAGGGCAAGTGACATTAGTACTTTCAACTCAAAATGCAGCATTTGAGTTACATAAGCTAATTAACAATTAATTTATATTAAGTATACATCCATTCCTTTTTCGATGGCGAACATTGATATAAAACGCAACTCTGCATATATGCAAACATTGTGGCAAATAGTTGTATATATTTAAAAGAAATAGACTTCAATTTAATAGTAATAAGCTTAAGTTATCATAAAATACAGAAAAATCCTCCAAATCGTTAGTAGTAAGTTATCATTAAATACAGGAAAATCATTCAAATCTTTAGTTATAATTCAATAAAAGAATATTCATCCAAGTAATAGTGATAAGCGATACTTAAAAACAGGAAAATCCTAAAATTAAATAGCAGTAAACTGTGTTATTTAATACAGGAAAATCCTGAAATTTCACTGTAATAAACTATCATTAAAAACAGGAAAATCCTTCATTTTTAAAGTAGTAAGCTATCATTCAAAAAACACAGGAATAACCTTGAAATTTGTAATAGTAAACTTTCATAAAATACCGGAGTATTCTTCAATTTACTAGTATTAAACGATCATTTGATAAAGGACTTTCCTTCTATTCATTAGTGGTAAGCTGTCTTTAAATACAGGAATATCCGTTGAGTTTATTGTAGTAAGCTAATAAAACAAAACATGAATATCCTTCAATTCAATAGTAGTAAATTATCATGAAATAATTTATACTTCAATTAAATAGTAGAAAGCTATCATAAAATACAGAAATATCCTTTGACTTTATAGTTAGGTGTCATTACAAATAGGAATATCTATCAATTTGATAGTGTTAAGCTACCATTAAAAACAGGTATATTCTTAAATTTTATAGTACTTGGCTATCATTAAAACAGGAATAATCTTAAATTTAATGGTAGTTAACTGTCATGAAGCACATAGAAAATCCTTAACATTTACAGTAATAAGCTTTAATCAAACACGGGTATATCCTTCAATTTTATAGTAATAAATTATCGTGAAATACAGGAATATCATTTGAGTTTACTGTAGTAATCTTTAATAAAGAAAAACATGAATAGTTGAGTCTGGTTTTGATGGCCAGTTAGAAGCAGTCGAGTCTTGACATCCTGTCGATAGTTCCTTCAGTGTGCTTGCCTCATGACCTCCACTGGTACACCTTTGACAACACACTCAGCATTCATGAGGACAAACACACCACAGAAACTGCTATCAGTCTGCTGCAAGGCGTAGCTGAATTCCACCGTCCAAATTTCTCTGAAATTTCTGTTTTTCTGTCCCGGTCAGCCATGAACTGAGTCCACAATCTGGTCAAACGATGACCAACCTGCCCATGCATGGAATCCAGGACGGTCACTGTTCTCTTTCTGATGTCAACCACCATCAGCACCCAGTGGTTCCCATGAACACAGATGGGCATCAGTACATGTCTTTTCATAGAGAATTGAACCTGGAAATAACAAATGTCAAACATTTTAGCACACCTGGTAAAACAGCCGTTAAGCTTATGTTAAATTTTGTTCTTGTGCTTCTGATTTTAAAATTATTTTAATTGGTATGAAGCATTAATACAGACAGCAAAAACTATTTTTCTATTTTATTGTATCAAGAAGTCAGCAGTTTTCCATTTAATTGTATGAAGAAGGCAGCACCCTTTCTGGAATACACACAATCATGAACACTTGATGAAAATGTCTCCAGACAACTACTAGAGCACCAATCAGATTTTAGAGGACTGAGCTAATTGTGACACATACCAACATAGTTTTATTTTTGTACATCCTCAATATATCCTTGATGTTATAAAGGATTGCCGCTGTGGAGGTAAAAGCACCAATAATCCCAGAAGAGATTCGTTTAAGTTGATACCTTCTGAAACATCCAGTGATCCAGTCTGCCTTGATCCCACTGAACTGCGGTGTAGGTGGGAAGGACAAACACATGGTTCATAGACACATAACTGTTCTGATTCATCTTCAAAACTGCCACGAAGGAGTTGATAATCTGTGGATGCAAGTACTAATTACTTTTATGCTCAGACTTACGTTCAAAGTTACCTTTATGAACTTTTAATTTGATGTAATTCTCATTTAAGTTAAAAAAAAATATGTCTACGACGTGGTGCTGTTGAACTATTTGTTTGTATTGGTTTTGCCTCTATTCTGATCCATTTTGTATAATCATATTTAAACAAGTGGAAAGAAGGACGGACATAAAGACTCATGATTCCTTTGACTTAATATACAAATAAAATTCACGTGTGTCATAATAATTCACAGACCATTATGAAAAGTCTTTTTCTACACAACCAATAAAATGTGCTATGTGACGTTGCGATGACAAGTACGATATGTACACTGTCACCTTCATCAGACAATTGACCAGTGAAGCGTATGCACACAAAGCTGTAAAATGTGTACGAGTTGTCCACAAAATCTGTGTTGATTTCGGCTACGCTGTAAGCGTATGCACAATAGTTGTTATATATGTACAGAAATGACTCGATCCAGCTACGCTTTGTTTAATACTTGGTCATAGATGTGCGAGAGTCTCGATTTAGAACTGGACCACTGCGGCGTATCCAGATGGCTTCCTTTATTTGCCGCTGGAACAGATTGCTCACTCTGTCCAAAACTTTGGAGTTATCCCAGTCAATCATGTGACTTTTATGTGTGGCATGGTCTTAGATTGCCGATTTATCTATCTGGGACTCCAACTGCTATATGTGACGTGTTACGGTATATGTACTGTGTTTCGGTATATGTGACGTGTTACGGTATATGTGACGTGTTGCGGTATATGTACTGTGTTTCGGTATATGTACTGTGTTACGGTATATGTAATGTGTTACGGTATATGTAATGTGTTACGGTATATGTGACGTGTTACGGTATATGTACTGTGTTTCGGTATATGTAATGTGTTTCGGTATATGTGACGTGTTACGGTATATGTACTGTGTTTCGGTATATGTGACGTGTTACGGTATATGTGACGTGTTACGGTATATGTACTGTGTTTCGGTATATGTGACGTGTTTCGGTATATGTGACGTGTTACGGTATATGTACTGTGTTTCGGTATATGTGACGTGTTTCGGTATATGTGACGTGTTACGGTATATGTACTGTGTTTCGGTATATGTGACGTGTTTCGGTATATGTGACGTGTTACGGTATATGTAATGTGTTTTTGCGCTGTCGTTTTACCAGGTTCTATCTTAACTCGTCCTCATTGTTCTCGTCTATTTTTCAAGATAGTGAAATCGACTAAATACATTCGACAAAGACAAAGTTTGCTTCAACACAAAAATCCGCCTAGTAAACAGAAGAATTAAAACTAATTTAGGAGAAATTGATAAATCTACAGGTCTGCTAATGAACCCTTAACTCAGTCACATATTTCACTCCTGACCAAGACTGATGAATCGTCTGTAAAAATGTGAGGAGAGTATCGTATGCAAGTGAGGCCACGCTTTCTCGCCAATTTGAAATCCTTACATGAGTGAACATTATTTTGGGGGTAAAAAACATTATATCTTGTTTTGCCTTGAACTTATTTTTTCTTTAGATAATTCAACATTTAAAAAAACTATATTAGACGACAGGAAGTGTTCTATTATTAATACACACAAAAAGCACGGATAATAAATCTGACGATAATGCATGAACCACCGTGGGAAATGTCTTGTTAGTGCACTCGAGTTGTCTCTCTTCTCACATCGATAACAGCCGCAGCGCCGAAACCGATATCGGCTGTTCTCGGCAAGTTGGATCCGTTGACAGATGTTTCTTCGTATTCTTTTTTAATACGGGTTTCAGTTGCTAGAATTCCCGTTTTCATTTTTGAATTGAGTACAGGTAAATAAAACCTGTATTATTTGTCGCAATAATAGCTCTCAACAGCTAATGTTCCTTGTTTACCTGTATGCGACGTTAAATAAAGTTTCTTGTATCTTGTAGTAAAACAATCCAGGTTCAATAGCCTACTAATGAGGTAGGATTTGGTCTCTGTTACATCCCAGGTAAACTCGTTTTATCATACTAACAATGACAATTTTGATGTCATTATCTCTCAGTTAAACCATAATAAGTTACAAATTATTTTTTCTTCGTATACTGATGTTTTATGTCGAAGTAAAACATTTTAATTCCTATCGTGAAACGATCTAATTAGACATTGTTAGACGTGACAGTCAGTATTTGTTACTTACCTACATTTACAGACCTCCCTCTGCTGGATCGTCACATCTTCTGGTCGTGAAACGATCTAATTAGACATTGTTAAACATGGCAGTCAGTATTTGTTACTTACCTACACTTACAGACCTCCCTCTGCTGTATCGTCACATCTTCTGGTCGTGAAACGATCTAATTAGACATTGTTAGACGTGACAGTCAGTATTTGTTACCTACATTTACATACCTCCCTCTGCAGTTTCGTCACATCTCCTGGTCGTGAAACGATCTAATTAGACATCGTTAGACGTGACGTGCAAATAATATAATTAACCTTGTGTTATTTTTGTGTCAAAAAGTGTAAATATCAGCATTATTTTTCACTGGAACGTAAATCATTATTGCGAAAGTAGTTGGTGACTGCTCGCTGTTTTGATTAAATTTTATAAACTATCGATTATATTTTTTAAAACAATTAATATCAATAAACAGCTGAGTAATTTCCATGTTAAGTAGGCGCGAGTTGCCAATCCCCTCTATATACTGTCCCTGGTTTAACTAATATATGACAATAATTATAAGAGAATTCACACAAATCTGAAAATACAAGCTTAACTAACATATCAAAATAAAAATATGATAATTCACACAAATTTGAAAAAAAATACAAGTTTAACTAAAACAATGACAAATTCAGAATACAAAATTCACATTCACTGAGAAAAGAAAAAGAAGTTGATGGTTTTTACATTACCCATTTAAGGTGGCTCCACACTTTCGTAATTAACGAGCGAAATTCGTTGAAACTTTCATATAATGGTTATGCAACTATGTAGAGTTGATTTTATGAAAATCTAAACACTCCGATGGTTAGGGGACTTTTTTGGAAAAAATACCAAAAAATTGAATTTTCGTCAATTTTAATATTTTCCGGGTTTTTTTTGGGTGTGACATTGTTCGGAACAATAACAACAATAATAAAATGAAAAGAAGCATTTCTAATTAACCCTACAAATATTTTATTTATCGCAAAATATGTAACACATGTTACACAAAGTGTTTTTTATTGAATTTGAACGGATAAAAGTGATTATCTACAAGCTAAAAGCCAACAGGACACAAAGATCTATACATATAGAATGGGAAATTGAACAAAATATACACAATGGCTTTATAATTAATTTATTTTACATTTTACAATCACTTCGATCCGGGTAAGAGTTATCTTCCTTGAAAAAAATCGGAACTTTTTGCAGAGGGGTGACATTTACACAATGACAGTTGTCCCTGTTTACATATAACAAAAATGATGGAAATAAATCAAAAATATGATATCAAAATTATCAATTTATTGTTCTTTAATGGAACCAAATTACCCTCAGTCATGTACACTTTGGACATCATTCCACAGTCCGCTAACTCACGGTATGTTTATAATTACATGTCAGGTACATATGTGACCAGAGGCTATCGCATGGTATGCCGTTCTCACGTGCACTCACACATGCATTTTATAGGTATCTTGATATTTTACAAAACATTATTTTCACAGAGTAAGTAGACTACATTTGTAAACACGATTTAATCGACAGAGCGAAACTTCCTCAACAGCGAAAATCGTAACGACCTCGAGCTTATGAACTCGTGTTGCACATGTGAGGTCGGTACGTCCGCATTCCATGCGTTTCCTATATGACCTTCTTGAGGTCGTTTGGTCTCATGTCACTATCTTCCCGTGAGTCTGTTTATGTCTATGAATTTGAAAGCTTTATTCCTGAAATACGTGTGATTATACATTTCCCGGTAAAATCTCGATATCGGGTGTTGACATATCATCGGCACGCACGTGTACTATTGTTTACCAGGGGCCTGTTCGTGTATGCGGAGCAACCGGTTTGACCGTTTATAAATGTAACAATTTCGGGTATAAATCCTGGCGGACCTGCAAATGTATATGCAGGCCTTGCAAGGCTTTCTCACGGCTCGCCTGAAAGCAGCATCAGATTACTAGGTCCGACCTTATTTAATGAACGAACAACAGTGGTCCGATCGGTTTGACCGTTTAAACGAAAACGGTCAAGGTGTAACTATAATTTGCACAACGACATTAATTGAATGCCCGATACGCAATACGGAAATGACGACACGGTGTACATGCACATTTCGATCAAGATAATTGAGTCCGAGCTGTACTTTTTCCGGAAGTACGTCACGAAAATGGACGCTGATGACGATGTGTGGAGCCACCTTAACAGCTTGGGATTGGAACTCTAATCATCCATTTGTCTGATTCTGAAAACTGTTCTAAATATTAATAATTATGTTGCAATTATTATTTTGCAATTATTAGCAGTTATTGATTATCTGATAAGTTATCAGAAGTTTATTTACCTGTACACCATTTCTGCAATAGCCTATAACTCACTATCATCACAACTGGCCACCTATGTAAACTTACTACATACTTCCCAACTCTCACAATGGAAAACTGTGGGCAATAAATCACTTGCTACCACAATCCACTGCACACATAATCCCCTTTCATGGCCAATCATGATTACATGACCATGAAAGGGGGCCCGGTGTACCCAGTGGACTGTGGTCACAAATTGTAAGAAAGGGGAGATAATCAATAAGTAAGTAACCAGCGTTATTGATTTCCTTATCACGTAAACTTAATTGGCACATTTAAAATAAGAAAAGGAAAGAGAGTTAAAAATTGTAATTTCATGATTGAAAAACAAACAAACAAAATTACTGAGTTGGCAGCGTTATTGATTTCCTTATCACGTGAGAGGATAAGCATTTCCTGGAAAAGTTTATAAT